GAGCAAACCAGTCTGTCTGAGGAGGAAATGCAGCTGGGATGCTCCTGAGACGTGAGGATCATGCGCTGGTGAAAGCACTCAGCTGCTGAGCCAAAAGTCAGTGTTTCAAAACCACCCAGAGCAGGAGAGCTGCGCCCGGAAAGACGATTGTTAGGTGCTATCAGGTCGGTTCTGACCCACAGTGACCTCACACGCGCCACAACGCACAACATGCCGTCCAGGCCCTGCGCCATCCTCACTGTTGTTTGGGCCATGGTTGCAGCCAATGTGTCCCTCCATCTCCTCGTAGGGCATCATGCTGGGGAGAGTGGAGGCACACAGAAGAGAGGAAGGGCCCTCAAGGAGACGGATGGACACAGTGGCTGCGCCAATGGGCTCAGGCATCGGAACAATTGGGAGGATGGCCCAGAGTGGGGCAGTATTTAGTTCTGTGGTGTGTTGGGTCGCTCTGGGTAGGCACCGACTCAACAATACCTACTCTGGGTAGTATGGGTAGGCCCCTAACAGCAACTCCTTTGACAAGCAAGATGCCCCTCGATGGGGCAGTTCGACTTCGTCACATGGGGTTGGTATGAGTTGGTATTGACTTCGTGGCACCCAACGCCGGCACCCAACGCCGATGAAGGCTATGATCCCACTGGGCTGCGCTGAGTCCTGTGGGAGTTGCGCAATTTCATGTCAACTTGGAGAAAGAAGGAAGGGATGGAGTCTAGCCGGTCAATCAGGTCACAGCCTGATGATCCCTCCTTGTGGCCTTCTCGTGAGGACTCTGGGAAGGACCTCTCTCTTGATTCTGCCATCAGAAGAGGTGGGCCACTCTCTCTGTCTGTCTGCTTCATCTTCCTGTTGACAAGCTACACGGAGCCATGCTGATGGCACCCAGAGCCCTGGAGATGCGTCTACCACCATTGGATCCACAGGATTTCCACCCACCGGTCTGTGATCTTCCTGATAGTGCAGAGGTCATGCTTGGGGCTGTGGTTGGGAGACAAGTCAGGAGGTTGGAACCCAAGAGGCCAGAGACCTGGTGCTCTGCCTCCACGCCGCTTACAGCCAGGAAAACCTGGGAGTTCCCCGCCGACCCATGGGGCTGCCAAGAGCCGGAATCAATGGCACAAACTCCTGGATTCCCGACACCAACCATTTCACCTTCTCATTCGGCAATGGTTGAGGCTCCAGTCCTAGGGGAGAGCCAAAACTAACCCCACTGACATGAGTCCGTTCTCAGAGTGACCCTATAGTAAGGTGACCAGACATCCCGCTTTTGGCAGGACAGTCCCGATTTTTAACAATTTTTCCCCCGCATCCCTCGGGTTTTAAAAAACTCCCGATTTTTGGAAAGAATGCACGACAAGCTAGGGTATACGGTTTTCAGCTGCCATGTGGCTATTTCACCAGGATATGAGTTTTATCAATGGTGTCTCTCCTTACCAATGTTAAAATCTGGTCACCTTACCTATAGAGCAGTGTTTCAACGTGAGTGATACCGCCCCTGGAAGGGGACGCTTGGAATGACCAGGAGTTGGAGCTGCAACAACAGATACCTACACTTTATCCTGCATGATCAGTCTGAGTACAGACGTTTTTCATTAGGTGATGGGGGTGCTGAATCTTTTCTTTTTTTCCTTCTGAAATGGGGGAGGCAGGACAAATACGTTTGATGACCTATGCTGTATAAGTTTTCCTACACGATAATAAATCTTTATGGGAACAGACAGCCTCATCTTTCTTCCTTTAAGGAGGCTGGTGGGTTTGAACCACTGACCTCATGGTTAGCAAGCTGTTTAATGTCCATCCTACAGGACCACCAGGGTACCAACTCATTACCATTGAGTGAACCCCAACTCAAAGTGACTCCGTGAGACAGTGCAGAAATGCCCCTCTTGGGTTCCTGAGCCTGGAGACCTTCCCAGGAGAGGGCAGCTTCATATTTCTTGGAGTAGTGGCTGGTGCTCCCAACTGCAGACCTTGAGGTTAGCCTAGGGCCCTTGTATTGGGTTGTGCAGACTGGAAGCAGAGTCTCACCTTGCTACCTCGGAGAAGGCTGGTGGGTTTGAAGCTCAGACGTTGCCGTTAGCAGTCCAATACTTATCCTACACCAGGCTATAAACCCAAACCAAACTCACTGCCATCGAGTGGATTGTGATTCACAGTGACCCTACAGGTCAGGGTAGAACTGCACCTGTGAGTTTCTGAGAGCCTTGTCTTTCTCCCATGGAGCGGCTGGTGGTTTCAAATTGCTGCCCTTTTGGTTAGCAGCCCAATGTTGAACCCCGACACCCCCAAGGGCTTCATAAGGCTCCTCAGACTGGACATCATTCTGGGAGCAGACAGCCTCATGTTTATTTGGAGGAGGCTGGTGGGTTTGAACTGCTGACCCGAGTGGCTGCAACACTACCATGACCTCTCCTAATGTAGGTTCCCCCCACCCACCTCGGTAGCCAACCCTCCCTCTTGGGCTGGCAGAGACGTGTTTGAAATAAATTTTATTGACGTTTCTGTCACTATTTACATATGATACACGGTAAATAACAGAGCC